GCATTAAATGCAGTCTTTAATTAGCATATATATTATTCATGTTTCAATATAATCCATTTTATAAGTCCAAGTTCAAATATAAAAATCAAAATGGGCTTGATGCACCTTATTGTTCACATGCAAAGCAGTTAACATAGATGTAAAGATATGAGGTGAATTGAAACATCCATATTTCATAAGGATGCAGTCTACGTTGTCTGAAATTATGGCTTGAACTCTTATTTTTAACTTTTTCTCATTTGCATACATATTACTCCCTGTTTAAATGATGTGTTAATTCTATTCATTAGACTTCAGTGGATGCTTCTGACTCTCCTGATAATCAAGCACAGGTCCCTGGAAAGCAAATTATGGACTTTCATGTTGCAAAACCCATTGTAAACGTGACATTTATCACTGCAAAGCCAAGTCCTGTGGAGCACTTGGCTGCAGTCAGGAGGGCAGAAGCTTTTTCTTCTGCTCATGGTAATGATTGTCATCTGTGGATAAGGAGCTGGCACCACATCCCCAATGGCTCTTCAGAAATGGTTGGGCACTTCACAACTGCTCCTCAGTCTTGATGGCAAAAATGCCAGTTCAGTTCTTTGAGGGAATAATTTGACTCAGGTCCTCGCACGAACAGCTTCAAGAAAATGGATGGTGAGGAATTTTCTGTTCCATATAATGTGGTGGTGGAGACCAGGATGGGGGGCCTGACCTAGATGGGCTCTGTACTGTCTGAAGTGTATTTGGCTGTCAGAGCCAGAGCCTGTGGCTTTGCTGTGCTTCCAAAATATGCTTGTGCTTCAAAATCTGGAAGAAGAGAGCCCTGAAAGCAAAGCACAAAGGTGACAGCAGTACAACAGTTCATTCTCCTTTCTCTGGTTTACTCAGCCATACCCTGTTGTGAATGTGGGAAGAAAAGGGGCAGTGAAATCGTATTGGAGTTAGGTGTGTGCTGCTGCATATTGATTTGCCAAGGCTGTGTCAATTCATCTTTTAATTTTAGGTATAAAAGCATTGTTATCCCAGTGGCAAACGCAAGGTGATAATTTTGGAAGGTTTTATGCTGATGAGGTGAGCCCTTAGTGGTGCCACACAGGGAGTTGCTATGTGTGCTCCCATTAATGAAAAAGTTGATGGGAAGAAGAAAAATTTATATTGGGATCTCTGTGAGGAAATCCTTGACATCTTTAAAAGCCCATAAGTATAGTTTCCATCTGTTTTTTTGCAGAGTCTGGACCTTTTCAAAAGCAGTGCTGATGAGCTGCAGGGAATTAGTTGAGGTCTTTGTGATAGCAGAAGGTGAGAGTTCAACATGTGGTTTTGTTAGCCACAGAGCTACAGAGAACAAGCTCCCTGTCATATAGCTTAAAGGTACAGGTAGAGACTACTAGAAAGAGACATGTTGTCCCTGCAGCCTAGTTTTATTCAAAGTGCAGAGAATAAGAGAGCAGAAGAGATCACTGCATTTGATTCACATTCTCAATAGCTGCTGCATCTCCACATCAGGCTGTGTAATCTCACTCTCAGGATCCTTCTGCGTGAGAAACAGCTGGGCACAGGAGAAATGATCCCATTTCACCAACCTTTGGGATAACCTAAGCTGCAGCTGGGCCCACGGGGCAATGAAAAATCTGTGTTACTGAGTGTGTTAGTGAGTTGCAGTGCTGTCTCTAGGGTCTGAGCTTGCACTTGGATCCTCTCTTTCCTTACCAATGCTTCCTTATGCTGCAAGGGAGTCCCTGAGCTTTCCAGCAGTTTTGAAACACTTAAACCCATCTGCAGCCCTCTCCTCCTTCACTCCCTGGACAGTGAGTGTTGAGTCCAGCAGGGCTTCTGCACTGCAAAGCTGGGACAAGCTGTGCTAATTTCCTGTGTGATTAGCACAGAAGAGGATTCTGAGGAAAAGGGCCTTCAATCTTAACCCAGGGTTTAAAGTTATCCACAGTTCTCAATTTCCTGATTTGGGTTTTGTTTGTCTTTTATAAACCTGGAAAGTAGGCAGCTCACCTCTTGGGGAAATGAGGCAGGGAGTAAGCATTCCCCTTCCATCCTCTTTCCAGAATTTTTTCCCTCAGTGTGCCAAATACAGCAACTTTCCATCCCGGAGAGAGATATATTGGCAACCTCCCTGCTTATTTTGTTCTGGTGACTGAATTAACATTTACATTGTCATTGCTCTCCACCAACTATTGTATTCACTGAGCTTTCTGCAAAGAATGAGTTAAATACATATGGGTTGAATGCTTTTTGTCACAACTCATGTTCTGTCTTGACCTTCTTGGCTTCACATATTTTCCCCTTTTGAAGTTACTACTTGTATGTGAAATCTTAACATCAGTGGGTCATTTTGGGGAATAAATATTAATGAGATGGCTACTGATAGCATTGTGTGGCTAGAAACAAATGCTTTTATAATAGATGGAATTTAATATTAATTGAGTGGTTTGGAGTTAAAGCAGGATATAAAGTGACAAGCTCATGGCACAGCAAAATGCCCTTTGCAGGAATCCAATTAGAAGAGGGAGCAGCAAATTGTATGCAAACTTGCTATAATCACACAGGGGCAATACAAGAGTGGAGCATAATTTGGAGCCTGGGACCTGTCCCTTTGAATGTCTCATGATTTCCATTAATCAACATTTAGCTACTATGTGATGGTGCCAAGTTTGCATTATTCAGCTTTTTCCTGACAATGCTCTATCCCATTGCTGCAGTCCTCCCTCTCCAGAGGGAGACAGTATGTTTTGCAGTAAAGGACACATCAATTAATGCACTGTCCTGTTACACGTCTGTTGGAGAAAAGTGACTCATTTGTTAGCCTGCTGAAATTACTTTGCACTGAAAATCTTCTGCTGATATTACAGGCTTCTGCTTGATCACTTGAAGCTATTACCTTTGCCATTTCCTACAATGAGGATCATCAAGAGTTGTCCCCTTTCCAAATTGTTTGTGATTTGGAAAAATAAAAGGTTTGCTGAGATGTGTTGTAGATAAATGGCTAAGTCCTATCTCAAGAAACCAAGTGCAGTTGCCAGATATATCTTGTGTTGTAAAGAGTGATGTAAAGTATTCATTGAGTTTGAATTGTTCAAAAATAATTTCTCTAAATATTATGTATTGTTTTCATCTGGCAGATGGAGTTGCAGAAGCTGCTATAGCAAGAGTTTGTTTGTGGCATTTCAGACAACCTGGGTATTGTGTGAAATTGGCTTAGCAAGCCTCTAAAAGGAGGGTACAGAATGTAAAGTGAGGGTGTAGGAGTGATAGCCAGGGCAGTGCTTCCAGGCTGATAGAGAAGCATGTGGGAAAAAAAAAAAAAAAACAAACCAGCAAGGAGCAAGTCAATTTATCCATTCTGTCAAAATGGCTACGATCAGCCAGGAGGCAAATGAATAAACGGATCAACAAGTATTTCACACTTGTGTGTTCTCGACAGGAAATCACAGATCTGAAACCAAATGTCTGGGACAAAACTACCAGAAATAGTGGCAAAATACTCTGCTGTTTAGTCTGCATTTTTAACATTTTTAGCTCACAAAAGCCCTTGAATTAAAGCACTAGAATAAAGCAGGAACTTGTTACTACATTTCTCAGATACGAGCAGAGATGAAAATATTTGGGATGGGTTTAACAGCAGGACATCAGTCCCCACTGGAATCTCCCTTTTCTGCACACCTGGATGTGTCTGGCTGGCCATGGTGATGGCTCCTGTCTTTTCTTCTCCCAAGCTCAGAGTATGATGGCAGCCAGAGCACCACCAAAGATCACATCAGGACATGGAAATGAAATGCATGAATACAGCAGGAGGAAAATGGATGTGGATTGCTAGAGCTGCCAGGGCTGAACAGCTCACCTGGGACAGACATCTACTACATTCCTCCAGGACACTGTGTCTGCCAGAGCAACCACAGCCCTTCATGAGCTTCAAGAAAAGGAAAATCAGAGCCAAGAGCTTGTGTTTAATTACATGTCTGCTTCTGAGCAAGTGTCTCGTGCATCCAGGCACATCTCTTCATACGTTAAGAAACACATTTTTCCTGAGATGTGAACTGCAGTTCTTGTGGGCTTTTTTTCTCCTTTTCCCCAGTCCCACATTTATCAACACTGAAAGGTTATCAAGAATTTAGTAAAAGATAGGTTTAAGCTTTAGAAGTACTGCAAATAAAGAGAACAGTCCATAAATAGAAAATATATTAAACTGTATCGGGTGTTAAGGGCTCTAATAATTAATACAGGTTGAGTGAATTTCTCCTGTTTTGCTTATCTGCAATGTGCTTTTGTCTCAAATCAAAATGTTCTGCTCCTATGATTTGTAGCTGTTTCTACACAGTGATCAAGACAACATGAGAGCAATGTTTTATTTGCCAGAGTATGTGCTTAGTGCAAAGGAATTTGTGATGAGGATGAAATCAGTTTCTAGTTTTCTGTGTCTAATTTTCAAAATAATTTCAACTGATTTTTTAAATGGAAAAATCTCTTCTACATCTGTTACTTTATAATTTTTCAATTCTTGGCTCTTTTATGTAATTAGAAGTCTGCTATTAGACATTGTGGTAACTTTTCTGATATGCCTCATACTTAGAATCCTTTTTGTGTAATAAATGTGTATTTCCTTGGTACTAAAATTCAATAAGCTCTGAATGGTTTATAAGCCTGAAACTTCCAAGATGTCCTTTTCTTAATAAATGTTTAGAAAAGGGAACTCTTACTCTCTTTATTTCATGCACTGTCAGAATCATTCTTCCAGTCTCCTCTGCCACATGATATAGTGGATTCTGCCTCTGTTACTTGCTTATAATATTTCTAGAATTTTTCTTATGGCTCATTTGGTCTGTGGAAATGGTAGTTTAAAGCATACATTGTTTTTGTTTCCTGTGTTTCTTTATTATGCCTGTGTATCCTTGTACTTGTTTGAAAACAAACCAATGAGAGCTTCCAAGTCAGAACTATAATTTCATGGGAAAATTAAAATAAAAGCAGAAAGCACTGTCTTAAACTGACAGTCAGGATAGAACCTGACACCCTGTTGGTCAGGGTGGTGGTAGCAGTCCCAGTAAATGGTGGCTGCAGTCCTGTTGGAGAGATAGATGTGGTTCTGTTGAAGTGGTGATCCTGTAGAAGGGTCAGGTCTTCCTCTGAAGGTCCAGTGGTAGTTATGTAGCTCTTGTCCTCTGGGAATCCAGGAGGTAGTCCTGCTCATACTGTTCCAAATCTCAGATTATATCCAGGTAGGAATGTTTGGTTCCCCCCACCGGGCGGAGCATCTCACAATGGATGACATAATTTTTTGAGTCATTCAGTAAGGTCTTGATGGCTCATTAACAGAAGATATCCCCCAAAGGGAGTTATCAGGGGTGTGACATGGAAGAGATAAAGAACACTGCCCCACCTGGTTTTCAGGCTTATGGAGATGGTCATAGAATACATACTTTTGATTACATCTTACCCTGTAACCTAAGACAATGCTTAATGCTACTGTCTGATTTTTTGGTATTAATAAGATTTTGCTGGTAGTTTAATTATCTCAGGATTTATGTTGTTGTTGTTGTAGATGCCATTTATTTTGTAGAAACATTGTCACAGAAAATACGGTAGTTTAAGGCAGATGCTACTGGAAGGGTCCTGCTGATGTGGGGGCTTTTCATTGTGATATGTTAATTGATGTGGGTCTGCAGTGGCTGGCCAAGGGAGCCCAGTGGGGATGTTCACACCACGCTGGCTGCCTGATTTAACCAGAAACCACTTCAGCAAATGCTGCTGTGCAGCACAGCAGGGTAGGAAGCCCAGCAGACAAGGAGTGCTGGCATAGTCCAAGCTCTCAGTACCTGTGTGTCTCCATGGCATCAGAGAGAGGTCCCTGGGTCTCACTTGAGGTAGGGGTGTATTCCTCACACTGCAGCACAGCACATAGCATGGTAACTCTCAGTGGTCTGGTTCAGTGGTTGGCCATGTATTGCCCCGATGTTTGTGTTTCCTTGTCACATTTGTTAACCTTTGAATGCAAGAAACTCATTAAAGCAATTCCTCAGACTAACACTCCAGGCTTCCCCAGAGCTCTCGACTCAGGCTCTGATTAGCATCAGCGACTGCAAGAAGCAAATCTCCAAATGGGTTGATTGATAGCGAGATTAATGATCCTCAAGATTTCTGTCCAGGTTTATTATTGGGAGGCTTACAAATCTTTGCTTTCAGCGAGGTGGGTGGGGAGGAAGGACCAGCTGGCTGCCACCCAGTCTGTCTATATTAGCATGATGAGGTGATGGACGTAGCCCTGTTAGAGCACCAGCACTAAGTAGTGTATTTTCAGTGTTCCTATTATCTACAAGGTACTAAATTATTTGCTCCTCTGCTTTGGTGCCAGCTGCTCTTTTCTTTTCCTTTGTGCTGTGCTTCCAAAGGTGTAATGCTATTTCTAATTGTGTTTTAAACAGAGTTAACAGCAAGACCATGAAATTTTTAAAGTAGTTATTTCTTGTTTAAGTGGCCAGTGAAAAAAGCCCACCCTCCAAATACTCAATGATTAAGAGAGAAAGGAAATAATTACTCTTTTAATATTTATCTTGGCCCCAGATAAGCTAAACATGAATTATGTCCAGCAGTGTTGGGAATTCTTCCTAGTTCTCCCATGCCGCTTTAGTCCAGCTGCACATGGACACATGTGTTGAGAAAGATGAAGCTTCCCACTGAGTATTTCATTATATTTAACAAACTGGCATTTCTGCCCCAAGATGGGCAGGGACATCAAAACTGTGGAACAAGCTGTGCTTTAATTTTTACGAGACTCTTGTGTTAGATTGCAGACTGAGCCTTGGGATACCTAAAATATCTGTCAATTGAATGTCCTGATGTCCCATTTGGAGGAAGAAAATGATATTTTTTGTGAAGGCGATAGGAGAGCTCTTCTGTTTTGAGAGTAATTAGGTGGGATTAATTAGGGACATTTATGTGAATATTCTGTTTCTGTTGTCCTCTCATAGGTTGGATCATCTCCATTTTGGTTTTGTTATAACACTGTGTCCATTCCATAGGAATTACATTTTGCATTTAAAATCATCTGCATTTTAACATCCCAGTGTGTGACCCTGTTTTTATTAATTCATTTCTTAAGATTCACCATCCCAAAGGGAATTCATGTCCTGAAATGATAATACCAAGTATACCAAATTTTGAGATCTTGGAAGTGCTACTAAAAGCTCCTCTCTAGTAAGAGGCAATCTTCATTGATTGCTGTGGCTCTTGTGATTATAGAACAGTTCTTCACTTGCTTAAATACAGCTTTCTTTTGTGAGAAAGTTTTAAGGTTCCTTTTTAATATTACATGATGTTTCGGGCATTGGAAACACACATTTTATAGGAAGTGCCTGAGGTATTATTTGATTGGAAAAGGCATGACTTTGTTTTCCTCTGTAATTTTCTAGCCTTTGTTATGAATGTTGCATTACATAAATGCTTGGCTCAGGGAGAAGAAAATTAATAGGGTCAGGTTTTCCTTTGGTTTTGAACGCTGTGCCTAATTTTAAACCACTTTAAGATACCACTTAGAGGTATGTCTACCCTATTTTTGCCTGAAGATATAAAGTTCTGAGTGGTAACATATAACCAAGGAGCTTGTTCTCTTGCAGCAGAAAATACTGATGAGTAAACCCATTCAGTCATCTGTAAAATTGCTGAGTGTATCCAAGGCAGCTGTTGTGAGTATTGATTAAAGCAGGAGCGGAAGGTTTGGTGCCTCTGGCCCTGTCAGAGGTCACCAGGAGAGTAATTAGCTACCAAGTGTCACGGGACCAAGTGTCATCACAAATAAGGTTTCCCCATTGCCTTCACTGTTCTCCAGGGACACCAGGATGATGGGACAAGGAAGCGTGGAAAAGGTTTGGGCTGAGTTAAACTAAGACTTATCCACATGATTTGCAATTAAAGAGATTTCTAAGTGCATTTCTGCACTGGCCACCTGGGTGCTCTCTGGTCACGCAGCTGATGAAGGGGGAGGACATGAAGGCAGCCCATCTGGGGATGTTGTCAATTCTTAACTGTTTAATTATTTGAATACCCTTCTAAAAATCATTATGTCTCACATAATGCCTGAGTTCAATAGTGTATGTGATATAAATGGGTGTCTGGGTCTTGGTGCAGGATAGGATCTCAGAGGATTGGGAGAAGAGGATTTTTAATTTTGTGGAGAGCTGTGTAGTCAGCTGGCAAATTTAGGCCATAAATATTAAATTAGCTGTCATTTTGTGTCAGAAATCCCTAGTCTTGTTTGCAGATTAGTTTTTCAACTGGACAGTTTTACTAGTGGTACATTCTTCAGTACAAATACTGTCTTGAAGTTTGGTCCACCTTCTTTTTTTCTTCTTTCCATCTGCCATCTCCCAGTCTTTTTCCTGGTCTTCAAATGGTCTTCAGGAGGGATCTGCTGGAAAATCAGCTTTACTGTAGGGAAATTTTCCTCCTTTATCAGCTTTCCTTTATTCTCCTGGTTTTTATGCATTCCTGCTTTGTACATCCTCCAGCAGCTCAAGTTCAGTCAGCATTCAGTGCCTTACTGCTCCAGCATGGCACAGGTTCTTTTATAACTTGGCTTTTGAATTCTGGTCATTAAGTATTAAGACCTATGAAGGAAAATAACTGTAGAAAATTAGGGCAATATAAGCCATTTTCTGGCCAAAAATAGTAAATGCAGATGCCTCTCTGATAGAATGAATGTAATATCACTGCTCCATGCTGGTCACTTATTCATATTCATAAGATCAGCTCTTTTTTCGTGTGGTTTTCTCTCCTCTTTTTCTTCTTAACGCTTGAGTCAGTTTTATTGCTCATAAAAATCGGTGACTGATGACCCCAGCTAGAGCAGTGCAGACTGCAGACAGCTGTTGTCCAGGCTCCCATCCACTGCTCTGCTGGTGACATGGTCATGATTTGCAGCACTTCTGTTGTTCTGAAGTCTGTGCTCTTTTCTGAGGAGTCATTGCCAATTCTGACAGTGACAAATGCTTGCCAAGGAATAGTGAAGCTAGTTTAAAGTGCAGAGCCATGTGTTACTAGTACACTTGACTGCATACATACTCTGGTTTTGGTGCCAGCAGAAACCAATCTTAATTGTGTCTCCTGAAAAACATGCAAAACAGTTCAATGGGAATCTGAAGCAGCTTTTCTTCTATTGAAAGTGAGAATGAATGTACAGAGGTAGTGAAAGGGATCGTTTCCTCTCTTTACATCCTTGTTTAGGAGTTAGTTGCAGACACCCCCGTGATGGAGGAGCATGGGGAATGAATGCCTGTATCCAGGTTGCATTTGGTAAAGACTAAGCCATGTCCTGTGCAGTCTGGTTTAGAGGTCCCTTACAGATCCTAGTCTGACTCTTATTCCATCTTTACTGTTCTTCCCACCAGCTAAAAATTGTGTGTAAAAGTAGGATGGCTGCAGAGACTATTGGCCTCGTTGTTAACAAATATATATTCTGCAGAGGTTCTGACTGTGGGAGGCTGTTTCTGGAGAAAGGGTGCCTGAAGGACAAGATTTGCCCTGCTCTGGCAGTAGTGAAAAGGCCTACAGGACCCTTTCAAGCCATCTGCCCCTGAATCAGTCATGCTTTAGCAGGTAATGACCCAGGAAAAAACCTAGATGCTGGTACAGAAATAAAGTAATATAAATCTGGCTGGCCTTGGAGAGGGAATACACACTGCTCCAGCCATCAACACCTGGAAGAAGGACAAGAGAACAAGGAGCAATGAGTGTGCTCGTTGCTTCAGCGTGAGGCAGGGCATGGCTCTTGGGTGTCCCCAGAATGTGAAACACTCCCCTTTGGTTTTTCCTGTGTTCAGTCACTGCCCTGGTGGTTCCAGCCAGCCAGTGCAGAGGCAATTGCTTGTTCCTCACCATAATCCTGGCTCCTCCTCTCCCTGCCCTGGCTGCTCCAGAGCTCACAGATCCTGCCTGTCATCACAGATCAGGGGATGCTGCCTGTCCTAGAGCCAGTATTGAGTAGTAAAAGCCAGGCAGTGCCCTCGGAGCAATTCCCAGCACTCCCATTGTCTGCAGCCGAGCTGTGTTTGCATTGGAGGCAGTATTAACACTGAGGCACTCCCTTCT